AAAATAGAGATAATGTAGAGGAGGTGTCTGAGAGATGGGCAGGATGCTCCCCTGAATGTAGAGGTAAAGGAGAAGTTCAGGTGATGCCCAGGTCTGCCTAGGGCACCTGGCTGATGGGATGCTATCCACCCAGGTGAGGGAAGTAGCACCGAGTGCTCTCTTGGTGGAGAGATGATAAGTTGACTTTTGGACGTACTGAGTTAGAGGTCCATGAATATTTCTGTCACTATTTCGATTTCTGCCCTGACCAAGGGGTGTGTGTGTGTGTGTGTTTGATAAATAACTGCTTAAACACCATGTGTCCATTCCACCTCCCATCACTTGTGAACTACAAGTTCTTTGAGCAGAGGGACCAGCTTGTCATTCACGCCTGTAGCCCCAGGACCTGGCACAGGGGTACCCACAGTAAGCATTCAGTAAGGGGTCACTGAGCAGCAGGGTGGGTGTCCCCATGAAGGGATGACCGCTGCCTCTTCCCACTGCTGTATTCTCCTTGAAACTGGATCCCACACAAGTAGATGAAATCCCACCTTAAAGGAGTGGAAGGTTACCTTCTCCTCTCACTGCCATGCCTGTAGGGGCCCTGAAGCTTTGGACAGAATGGGAAGTGATCAGACCTGGGACAGAGTTGGGTGACTGAGGAGACCAGGATAGAACAAGCCGGCTAGGTGCAGACCAGGCCTCCCTGGAGTGGGTGCCCACACCTGCTCGGAACAATGGGGCAGGGAGGGCACTTGAGGCTGGAGGAAGGGTGGAGCAGGATGTGGACTGAGGGGCCAGGAAAGATGATAGAGAGCAAACTGGCCAGGCAGGCTGTGCCAGGTGGTAGGCTTGAGGATTGCTTGAGCTTAGCTCATCCTCCTTAAGCCAAACAAGGCCACTGCATCACGTCCCCCAGTCCATCAGCAGGGCTCTTGACTCAGACCTAATGGATCCTTTGTTGCCATCACCAAGGAAGGGCTGTGCTTCTTTTTTTTTTTTTTTAAGATTTATTTATTTATGCATATAAGAACTGGCGTACAGGCTGAGGTGTGGGGGGTGAGAGGATTCACCAGGGACAGAGTGGGAAACAGAAAAGGTAAATTGACTGAAGTACATGCTGAGGGGAGCAGGGGGCGAGACAGGAGAGGTCTGCTGTGCCATGTGGGTGACCTCCCTGGCCAGGGATCAGACTGGTGCTGCAGTGGCTGCGGATAGCTTCATAGTGCTGTGTCTTAAGCCCTTGCACCACCAGGGAGGCCCCAGAGGGCTGTTTCTGGAGAAGCTGGGCACCAGTCCACATCTTAGCAGGTGGCGTGAAGCTTGCTAGGTGAAGTTGGAGACTGTTGGCTCAATTAGCACCTACGTCCCAGGCCTGCGCTCTATCTGGAACAGGAGTGGAGGAGTCACCGGCTCCTCTGCCCAAGTACAGTTTTAGGGCTTCTTTGTCCTTTTGGCATTGTTTCCAACACTTTGAAGGTGCCCAGGGCTTTTAGAGTTTGGCCTCTGCTCTGTTTTCAGTAATCCTCATTCAAGATACCCCCTTGGCATCTCACACATCTCACCTCACACGCTCCATGAACTGCAAAGCTGCCCTGGGATTCAGGCAGGTGGTGGTGTAAATCAGCAGGTCCATTTCTCAGAAGAGAGCACAGGCTCAGGCCCAAAAAGGCACCAACAGGTTGGTGGCTATGCAGGGGCCCCAACATGAACCGGTGCTTACTTCATGCCACTCTTTTTCTTGTTTACTCCACCTTAGCCAGAATGGACATTTTTTTTTTTTTTAAGATTTATTTATTTATGCATACAAGAACTGGGGTACAGGCCAGAGGTGCGGGGGGGGGGGGGTGAGAGGATTCACTAGAAACAGAGTGGGGAGCAGAACAAGCTGAGGGGAGCTTGTACACCACTGAGGGGAGAAGCAGGCAAGACAGGAAAGGCCTGCTGCACCATGTGGGTAGCTCCCTGGCCGGCCAGGGATCGAACTCGTGCTGCAGAGGCTACGGATAACTTCATAGTGCTATGCTTAACCCCCTGCACCACCAGGGAGGCCGAAATGGTCATCTTGACATTTATTCCATGAGCATGCCAAGCTTGTTCCCATCCCAGGGCCTTTGCACTGGCAGTCCCTCTTCTTGGTTAGCCCTTCCATTACAGCATTTTGGACAGGATCACTTGTTGGGGTTTGCATTTGAAAAAGTTTACCACAGTCATTGTGCATTGATCTGGATGGCAGCAGGAGCAGGGAATATGGGTTAAAAGACCACTGAGTGGCCAAATCAGAGATTACAGTGGCCAGGGTCAGGCATTATGATGGGTATGGAGGGGTAGGGACAGAGTCAAGTTATTTAGGAAGCAGAACCTATACACACATGGGAAGGGTGAACCAGGCTGAATTCCACTGCAAGGAGGAGGTAGGACATGAGGTCACAGGCAGTTATCTGACCTCCCCAACCATTCTAGGTTCATCTCATGTTCATCTCCGCTCACTCACCTCTCCTTAGCCACACTGGCCTCTATGTTTGCTGGATGTTTCAAGTGTCCCCAGGCCTCCAGACTTCATACATTCTGTTACCCCTGCCTGCAATACTGTTTCACTCTGCTGTAACCTCTTTGCCCACTCCCCACTTGGCCTTCTCTGGTTTCCCGGATGGACAGGGCAGTCTTGCATCCTCCCACATAAGCACTGAGCAGTCTCCTTCCTGGGACTCATCTCATTGGTGACAACTCAGTTTTGCTGCTTAGTACCAGTCAGCTGCTTAACAACAAACTCCTTGAGAGCAGACATTATGACTCACATATTTTTTGCTCTATCCAAACCCTCGGTATGGCATTTGTTTATTAAACTCCTGTTGAATGAATGAATGAATTTTGAGTTTATGAATGAGGTTCATGCTGATACCTTGACATCTGCCCAACAGTAGTTGCATATAGGAGTCAGGCTCTTTTGTAGGGGGGATGGGTTAGGAAGCTTGTTTTTATGAGTGAATCTAGATGTTTGAGCAAAAAACCTGGGGTGGTGGTAAATGGACTTGGCACCTGAAGACAGGCCTTGATTTTACTCTGGACTTTGAAGGATGCAGAATTCAAAGTTTTTGTCCCCTTCTGCTCCTAGAACTACCTGCAGCCATTCCTGCCACATTAATAGAAGTCTAAGGTCCAAGTCAAGCGAAATGACAAACCCCTTTGATACTCTCTGTCCCCTTTTCACTCTGGGGGCCAGACAAGAAATAGAGGCCCAGGAGCTTCATCATATGCAAGGGTGGGGGCAGGCAAGGGGCTGGACCTGCTCAGCCTGGGATTTAAGCTGGTTCCACAGAGAGCTCCCCCCATCCCCCACCCTGCAGGGAGTCTCAGGAAAGCAGACCTTTTGTGTGAGGAAGGACTATTTGTTCAAAGTCACCCAACAATGAAAATGGTATGTAATGAGCTCCCCATCCCTGAAGGATGAATGACTTTCTGGTAAGGCTGCTGTAAAAAGTTCTGAATGGAAGATAAAGAAGCTTTTATTTTATTTATTTTTTTAAAAAACTTAAAAGTTCTCTTCCCTTTATGAGATGATGTTTTTGCTATTGGACAGGAAATCACTGTCAAATATTTGCTCTGCCAGGCTAAGCAATAAATGATAGCTGCCATCTGCCTCAGGGGCATCCACGAGCACATGTAGGTTTCTAAGGAGGGGCAGGAGGAAGCTGAGTCATGGACCTCGAGTTGGGCTTGGCTGCAGGTTTGGGGCTTCCTTGGGTCTCTAGAGGTGTCTGGCTGCCTAGAGCCCCCAAAGGGGCTATTTTTTTTAAGATTTATTTTATTTATTTATGCACATAAGAACTGGGGTGTAGGCCAGAGGTGCAAGGGGTGAGAGGATTCACCAGAGACAGAGTGGGGAGCAGAACAGGCAGATCCACTGAAATACACTGCTGAGGGGAGCAGGGAAGACAGGAGAGGTCTGCTGCACCATGTGGGTTATCTACCTGGCCCGGGATGGAACTTGTAAGCAGTGGCTGGGGCTAACTTGATAGCACTGAGACTTTAACCCCTGCACCACCAGGGAGGCCGAAAAGGGGCTGTTCTTGAACAAGAATCTTTCCCATTGACTCATTTAGCTATTCTTACAGCTTATCTGTGGATTTGAAATCTTAGAAAATAAAGTTTTTTTAAAACATGCCAAAAATTTGATACAAATATGTCGGGGTAATGCTTGGCATCTGTAGTTTTAAATTGTCTCCAGGGTAATCCTACCTGCAGATGGAACTGAGTCACTGACCCAAATGATGTAAATGAATTAGAGAAATGCATCTGTAAATAAAGCACTGTTATTTTTTGTATAATAGAGCTCATCAAATTAATAGGGGAGTTTTAGATAGTGATTGTTCTCGGAAAGATTCTTATCTGTATTTAACTCATTAAAATATAAACGGGCATACAACAAATGAGGGCATTTTCCTTATCTGCTAATTTGCCTCTTTTCCTTCCTCTCTTAGTTGTGCTCTCTTCATGGTGAAAAAAAGGAGATAAAAGGAATCATTTCTATTTCCATCTTCATTTCATACTCTGCAAAATGTTTTTCTGTCTGCTTGTGACTCTCATCTCTGCAGAAGCCATAGGAGGCAGGCAGAGCCAGAATTGTCATTCCCCATTTTGTGCATTGTTAAACTGGGGCCCCATTGAGGAAAGTGGCTTTTCTGAGTTCACAATATTGATTGGTGGAGGCACTGGCAAACAAATCCATGTTTCCAGCCCTTTCCTCTACCTCCTGCCACTTTCCAGTTGCTTTTTTTCTTCCTATCTCTCTTTCTACTTGAGTTTCCCCTTCCTCTAGTCCCTGCCCTCATCATATGCACATCATGTGGAGTCAGCTTTACAAGTCCAAATGACTCCTCACTCTGGATCTGGGAGCCCACAGACATAGCCCCCACCACTACATCTCAGGATCTCTGCCAAGGGCATGCCTTTTCCAGATGCCAGGGTGCAGAGATTAACTCTGGGTGACGCTCACAGCCTCTCCATCTGGTCCCAGATAAGATAAGAGCAGGGATCAGCTCTATAAACAGGACCCTATCCTTTCCTGTATTCAGGCCCCAACTAGATCAGGCCACATCAACCCAGGATCAGCATGGCCGTCCGCCTATGGGTGGTCACTCTGGCCTTGGCTGCCCTCCTCATTGTGGAGAGAGGTGAGTGGACAGAATCTGGACTCTGTGGCTTGGTGTTAGTAGGTGAGCTTGGGGGTGGGGGGCAGAGACAGGGCTGGAAGCAGCCTGTGAAGTCTTGGCTTTCTGCATATACCTTTTTTCTATACTCTTCACCACGGTGGGGAAAAGCCCCCACCTGGATTAGGAGAAAAGGAACCTGGGTTTAAATCCTGATGCTGGTCCAGGATTATGAAGTCCCCTCCCCTTTGGGGGCCTCTGTTTCTCCAACTGTAATGTAGGAAGTTGTTCTAGTTCAAAGCTGTAATGAGCACCTACTGGGTTAGATAGAGATTAGAGAGGCAGAAAGGAAAAGGCCTATCTCGGGGCAGATAGGTTGGCTGCAGGGTGGTAGGAGCTGCAGGAAGCCTGACCTAGGTCTATGAGCTCCTGGACCCAGGATCTAAAGTGGATATCCCTTAATTCTTACTTTTTTGCCTTTCAGAAGTGTCAGTATCAGGAAAGTTTGTTTTCTCCAGAATGGTAAGGCAGTTGCTTCCAGTTCTGGCTTTCCCTTTGCAGGGGGGTTCGGGGGGATTGTCATCCATGCTGGAAAACCAGCACTTTTCTTCTCTGTGCTCCTGCCCGGACACCTCTAATGGCACAGTCAGAGCCATCAGGGTGGCCTCCTGAGCCTATAGTTTTCCAGGTTAGTCTTTCCAGGCTGAGGAGGGTCTGGCCTCCAGACCACTGAGAGAGTTGCTCCAGCCTGGTGTCCAAGGCCCCTCCCAGCAGCGAGAACCCCCTCCCAGGCTCACTAATGCGCTCTACCTTGCATAGTGCAAACGGACAGGCTGTGGGGTTCAGGCTAAGGAGGCCACCCTGGCACTGAATGGCCTTCGAGAATATAACAGCCCTTTCTATACACACCCCACCATCTATCTTTTCACTCTGGGGTGCAAATGCCAAGTTGTTTCTGACCCTGATTCCACCTTGGCCCTGGGTCTGACGTTCCAGGGCCCCAAGGCAGTGTCCTCTTCGAGACTTTCACGTAGGTAAATAAAGAGGCTCAAAGTCTCCATCTAGCCATCTCAGCAACTTCCCTCTCAGCTGCCCCCACCTCCCCACTACTGTCAAGGAGCCAAAAACTTTACATATATTATGCCAATTAACATTATGTGAGAATTTTATTTCTGTGATTTTTGCACAAGGAGAAATGAAGCTCAGAGAGTGGAAATAACTCACCAAGTTCACACAGATAATCAGTGGGAGAACTCTCATCTTGAAGGCCTGCATCCTCACCTAATACTGTCCCAGGCCTGACCCTCGCCTTAGGCCTACCCTGAAACTCTTTCAGACTGAGCCTCAGAGAAATCTCAAGGCCTGTCCCACTTGCCCAACTTTCCCACACCAAGGGCCTGATAGGTTGTACAGGCCAGGATGAGTTCAGGAGCCCCCAAGGGAGAGAGGCCTGGGAATGGTGGGTGGTTCTATTGCCTGGGGTCTTCAAAGGGACCAGCAGCAGGGGGGTTTCAGTTAGACCCTCTGAAGGGTGTAAAATTGTCCCCAGGAGCCTGAGGGAACAAACTCACTCCAGCCACATAAACAGGGGTACACACCTGCACGCCCACATAATTGGCTCAGCAGATACAGGTATACATACCCACAGCCACCTACACTGTCATACATGTATATGCTAAAGCAAACATGCCAAGGGCATTGGTTGGTTTCAGGCTCATGGGACACATTCTGGAGCTTTCTTGAATCTGGTTCCTCCTCGGAGACCTTCTACTCCAAGCAGAGCCCCTGGGTCCGCCCTTGCTGTTTCCCGATCCCTAAGTACCCTCCCTACTTTCTCTTCTGCAGCCCGCCTGTGAGCATATGACAGAATCTCCGAATTGTCCTAAGACATACAGCCTGGTCTGTGGCACTGACGGGGTCACCTATGATAGTGAATGCCACCTCTGCTTGGCCCGCATGTAAGTTCACTCCCCAACCTTCCCTGTAACTTGTCTGGGTGGTGCCATCTCTGGTACATACAAGTTTGAAAGGGGCAAGATTTGACCTATTTCTTCCTTCACACACACTTGGCCTGAGAACAGTCCTCCAACAATTCCCCCAAACAGAATGAGCACAAATATAATTTAAAGAAGGCACATGACTCCAAGCAGACAGCTACTGTTGATGGCAGAGGAGGGATTTAGCCGTAGTGGCAGAAGCCTTGGATTCTTTTCCTTGTTCTGCCCGACTGGGTGACCTCATTTCATTTTTTCCTCTAGCCAACAATTATTTATTGAGCACTGTTAGGTGCTAGACACTAGGCAGACAAGAAGATAAGCTAGACAGCACCACTGGCCTCCCGGGGTATATGGTAAGACTAAGGGGGAAGCAATTTATAGCCAACTGCAGCCTGGAATACTAAAGGCTCAAATAAAGCACAAGGATGAGGAGGGAGGTCTTCGTGGAGGAGGTGGCCCCTGAGTCCTAAGGGATAAGCAGAAATCAGCTAGGAAACAGAAAGAACAAGGAAAGGTAATTCCAGGTAGAAAAATGAGTTTGGAGAAGCATAGAAGCAAAGGAAAACTTGTATTTGAGGAAATATAAGAAGGTGGCTATGATGGAAGTTAAAAGAGAATGGGGGTGGAAGCAAGAAATGAATAGAGAACCAGGCAAGGCCAGAACGTGAGGTTGGTACATGAGATGGCCTATTTGGTCTCATTTCTTCATTAATAAGATCCTTGTGCAAGTCAGAGCTAAGCAAGATGATAGAGAAGAAAGTCCTTGGAAACTGCAAGACTTCAGATGAATAGAAGCACAGCTGGACATTGTCCTTGGAAAATGATGATAATTAAAGACTCTTGGTTACACGGGCGGTAGAATGGACAGACTGAGACTAGAGGGTAGAGGGGAGTGGTAGTTTTGTGAGGCAATGATGTTTGTGAACAGTTGAGTCTCTGGGGCATTCCACCGGCAATGTCCGATGACAATTGCAAGAATAATCCTAGAGATCTGCTCGAGAGATGAATCTGCAGCCATCAGCATGTAGTGATGGCTGACACCCGGCAAGTTGAAATTTCCTAGAGGAAGGGTGTGCAGGAGGGAAAAGCTGTGAAAAAATGTGCCCAGAGACCCCTGGGACCTGCACTGGGTGTGTAGTGGATGACTCAGCAGGGCGCCAGGATGAACTGAAAGGTATAGTTCCCGACATGACCTCATCTTTTCCTCCTGTGACCCTAGGAAAACCAAACAGGACATCCAGATCATAAAGGATGGCAAGTGCTGAGCCTACAGACCTGTAAGCCAGAAGCTTCAGGATGGAGAGCAATGGTAGAAGCAGAGATGTGATATGAAATAAAAGAGCTAGCCCAATGCAGCCAAGTGGGCTGTAGTCTTTGGGGACTCAGGGAGGTAACGGGGGAAGGTAGAATTTTGCTGCCCTCCCCCACTCTGAACCTGACATCCTGCAGAGTTCCTCATCCTCCTCACATATCCTCCAAAAGGTCCCAGGTAACTTCTGCCTTATGGTTGTTGTTTTTTTTTTCAAGATCTATTTTTATTTATTTATGCATACAAGTGGGGTGCAGGCCAGAGGTGCAGGGGCAGTGAGAGGATTCACCAGAGACAGAGTGGGGAGCAGAACAGGCAGAGCTACTGAAATACACTGCTGAGGGGTGCAGCGGGGAGACAGGAGAGGTCTGCTGTGCCATGTGGGTCAGCTCCCTGGCCAGGGAGCAAACTCAGGCCACATTGGCTAGTGATAGCTTGATAGTGCTAACTTTAACCCCTACGCCACCAGGTAGGCCCTCTTCTGCCTTAAGGTGGTCAAGACTCTGACAGGTCAGTCCCGATCCCCAGTACTCTGCCAGTGCTCTATTTTGCCCCAACCTGTCACTAAGGTTAGTAATTAGGAGCAATCTATGCCCTTTTGCCACTGCTAAAGTGTGTGGCTCAATTTCAGTCAACTTTGGGAGGGTACCACACCCCTGATGGCTCTCTCTCTGGGCTCAAGTCTCCCCAGAGTTACTCAAGTGATGCCAGCACGACTGAAACTCAGGCAGTAGGAAGTGTCCACGCACAGTACAGCTGAACTGCTTGTTGAAATATTGAATCAGGTCTGTAACAGTTGGAAATAGGTGCTGCCCCAAGTCCTTGAGTGTCCCCCACTGCAACTTGGCCACCCACAGCAGGATGATTTCCAGTCCCTGCTCTGCTCTTTCGGTCAACATTCACTCTGATTGGTTGTTTAACACGCTGATATCGGATGCAACCCCAGGCACACACGGCACATGTGCACTCACAGTGATGCACAGGAACACAGCATTCAGAAATCCCTCCATGGAACCCTGGCCTGTGGTATATGCCAAATGTCTTCTTAAGGCAAAAGCCTTAAGAAGCAGGAGCCTCTTGGTAATAGTGTATAGAGTATATGTGGGGGAGGAGAGTGAAAGGAAACTGGCCAGGTGGGAGCAGTTTCATATAGACTTGGACTCCTGTTCTAGAGTGGGCAGATGGAGCGGGAAAAACTCTGGGAAACATAGAATATGAGCGGAAACTGGTGCAGAGAGGGGAAGGCAGGAACCAACATTCCCTGGACCATCCAAATGGGAATGTGGACAGGAACTGTTACTCAGATTACAGGGCATAGGCACTGGGAGATATTTATAAGCCCTTCTACTATTACGGGTAATAGCAACTTGTTTCCCATCTGGAAACATTCCACATGGGAATGATACAAGACCAAGATTGGCTGTGAGGAAAGAAAAAGTCAAAATAACAGAGGCTTAGATAGATGGATGTTAATTTTTCCCACACATTTTCTCACCCAGGAAGTATGCTAACTTCATGCTACTTTTATATTATTACCCTGCCATCCTCATCAGTTTCTGCCTCTATGTCTAAGATGGCTGCCCCAATTCCAGCCATCATGTCTACATTCCAACCTCAGAATGGAGAGGAGAAAGAAGGGTACACTACTACTTTTGAAGATGCTTCTCATATGATGTACACTGTTTACATCCCATTTGCTGAAATGTATCTCTTGGTCAAGCTAGCACTGGATTGGGAAAAAATTATTATCTGGTTGGTTGTGTGCTAAGCTGCAATTAGGAGTTCACTTATTACAGAAGGAGAGAGTGGATATTGGTGACCTCAAAGTTTCTTCCCTAAGTGGGAAATCCTCCTTATACTCAAATGGTACAGCTCAGCCAAGTATTTCCTCCTTGACTCTCTCCTCCCAGGCTTCACTCACACAATGAAAAATCCTGAATATGCCAGGCACCACATTGGAAGAAATACCTAATTTCCCAATATATAGATGCTGGGAACCACCCTGAAATTAAGTGTGGGCTCTAAAGGCACTCTATCTGCTGCCCTGGTCACAGCTAATTGGTAAAAATAATTCTCTTGAGTTTTTCAATTAATAAGGAAACAGAGGCAGGTTCTCCCTGGTAGTGAAGCTGTAAGATGCATGAAGTAGGGCTGCCTGCAGCCATGTTTCCTACTTGTGGAAGAAGCAAGACAGAAAGAATGCCATCAGCATGCAAAGAGAGATATGGGATGATTCCAGTTTTTGAGGCCCAGTTGCCCTCTAACTTCCCAAAGTTACATAGGATAACCTGACATCCAGCCAATAAATGTTCTATTTCAACAGTCTCTTGAGGACTGTTTCTGACATTTTCAAGTAAAAGAGGCCTAAATACAGGATGACAAAGGCTTCTCTGAGGAGATAACCTTTAAGCTGTGCCTTGAGGGATTGAAGAAATCTATGACAACAAAGCATGAAGTCAGTAGTTCTCCTGTCCACCTGTGACTATGCAGGTGCCTCTTTTTCTTTCTCCGTTTCTTAATAAATCTGTCCTTTTAACATGTGAAAAAACAAAGCATGGAAGCCATTGGCCATACCATACTGACCATACCCAATTTCACAAGCTGAGTGGGTGGGGCTAGCTTAGTCTCTCATGAAAGACAGCGTGGGAGAATTCTTCTAGCTCTGTGAAGCTGAAGGATGTATGTGGGAACCACGGAGTCCCATTTATTGGTAGAACTCATTACGTGCCATGTACGTTATGTGCAGGAATGTTCTCTCCCTTCAAAGTCAGAGACATCCTGTGGATAAGCAGATCTGTGTGGGTGGGCTGTGAACACAGGCCCAGACACCACCTCGCTCATTTACCCAGTAGTCCACACCTTCTCAACCCTGAAATAAGACAATGACTGTTAAATGCTGTAAATTCCAATGCCGATAGAGCTCCAGTGGCTGAGTGCAGCTGTGGGAATTATACTCTTCATGTGTGATTCACTCATTTTCCAAATATTTATTAAGTACCTACTACAAACCAGCCAATGTGCTTGAAATATGCTATTAACAAGACAAAGAAGCTCCTTAACTCAAACTTATAGCCCAGTGTAAAAAGCAAATATTAACCAAATAATCCCAGAAATAAATCATCGCAGATTATGATAAATGCTGCTTATCATAAGGAAAAGTTAGGGCAAGCTATAAACAGATGAGCTCGATATGTTCTCAGGTGAGATTTCTTCAGAGAAGAAGACAAATTCTGAAGGAGGAATAAGAGTTACCTAGCAAAGGGGTGGGAATCGGGGAAGGATGGTGAGGAGCCGAGCAAGCACAGGAATGGGGTGCACAAAGACCCTGGGGCAGGAGAGTGCATAGGACATCTGAAGACGTGATGGAAGACAGAGTAGCTGACAACAGAGAGTAGGCAGGAGCATGGTCCGAGATGAGATGTGGCACGGTGTAAGGTGGATTTCATCCTTTATCCTAAGAGAAATGGGAGCCATTGAAGGTTGCTAGCAGGGGACCATCACAGTAAGATTTGCACTTCGTGATCACTCAGGATGCTGTGTGGAGAATGAACTGGAGAGGGCCAGCATGAAAGACAAACAGAGGGAGATGCAGAGAGAGAACATGAGAGAGAGGAGAGAAATGTGCATGAGCACCAGACCCTGGGGTGGCTGGGAGGCAGTACAGTGGAGATTGAGAGCACAGGCTAGATCAAACTGCCCAGCTTCCTGTCCTGGTTTTGCCACTTGCACAAAAGCTAATTACCTAAGTTCTCTCTGTTTTCTTGTCTCTAAAATAGGAGTAGTATCTGTCTACCTCCTAGGTTATGTGAGGATTAAACAAGTAAAACACCTAAAGAATTTAGAATCTGGCACACAGTAACTCTTCTTTAAATGTGCAGCCCAAGACCACACAGCTACTACATGAAAACAAAAATATTGAACTACTGTGTTTAAAGCTAGGGGTGTGTGATCGGCTGGGCCCATGCCTTGCCCACTAGTTCACCCCTACCGCCACCTTGTGGTGGATCAGTGGACGCCCCCCTCTGCCAAATCAGGTCAGCCTTAGAGGTGTCGGGAGCAATCCTGGGCGCTGTGTGGAAAAAAAGAGAAAGGAAGACAGCAGCTGACCTGTTCAAGAGTTCTAGGGCCACTTCTGACTTTATTAAAACATAAAGTATAGCTACAACCACAGAAGGCTTTTGCGTTTCAAATTTTATCCAAAAATAAGTTTAAACACCCTTCTGCTTGCTGGCATATACACACATTTTTTTTTTTTACAAAGTGGGGGGGGGGGTTTGGGGAAGACCACAAATGAATGGGGTCAGCTTTGTAGGAAATATGCTAGAAAGGTGAACAAAATGCCTATAAGAAACGCCTGAGAAGTTTTGGCTGGCTTCACCACCGGGTGCTTTACACTCTGGCTCCCCTCTCTGGGATCTAACCTGGTTTCTAGCAGAGACTCAGTCAATACTGAGTTCTAACCTTCCAGACATCTGTTGGAAGTGCAGGCTTCAACCATAGATGCCACCCCAGGAATCGGCCTTTAAGATCTAAAGGCCTGAGGCTGGGTATTCACTGGGAAGTAAAGACAGGGTCTGTGAACCAACCACCCAGCCAGCTGTTCTGCAGTGAAGTCACAATGAGGGACACCTGGACTATTCGTGTGCCAAACACCTGCTCCTGGCCATTCCCAACATTCCTGACTAGATGCAACCTCCTGGTGATTCTGGTTTACATCTATGGGATTATGGGATCACAAGACCAAAAAGGGCATCCATATCTGAAAAATCAGGGTGGGCTAAAGTGGAACTATCCCAGGACAATTGAGCGTTCTCACCAGGCCAAAGGAAGCACACAAAGGTCAAAGGAGCCGGAAAGACTTGGGCAGGGAAGCCTTTAGACAAGATGTGCTGCTGGACAATAGTCACAAAGAGACAGGATGAGAAAACAGAACCATTTAAGGTTGCAAAGACAATACTTGTTCACTGAGAATAGGTGTGGCAGTAAGAAAACCGGCAATCACCCAAATGACCCCCACAACCCTGGAGAAATCAGGCGACTTCTGTTCCAGAGAAGGAAGAGCTGGTGGTGCTGTTCTTCAGAGCCTCTCCCACCTCACCTCACTCGGCTAATGCCAAGTTTGTAGACTGCAGCCGCTCTGTCTCCTGGCAGATGCTCTGCTCCGCTGCGTCACATTCAGCTAGAAATGCCTGAAAGATAAATGCCAGGCAGTGAGGGTCCATCCAGGACTAGCTAACCCCTGCCCATGAAAGGTTCTTTCTTTGCTCTGCCATTCGAGGAACCCAGAAAACCTTGTGCAGAGATGGAGATGGCCTGGGCTCCAAGGTTAGGGGAAGGAGGAAGAGGGACCCACTGGACCAGGGTTTCTGACAATGCTCTAAGCCTACAACCCCCAAAAGGGTGGTGAGGACAGAAGGCCTTGCCTTGGGGCCACCGTACTGCAACTGCACAACTTCAGGGGACCCTGTCCAATGGGTGTGTCTTCTGGAATTGTGTAACATGTCAGCCTTATCTGCTCCCCAAGGATCATCCTCCCTAAATTCTTGCAATTTATATATAATTACAGGGACAGGAAAGAGACTCTTGTCTAATATTCTGGATTCATGTTGAGAAATAGCAACCAAAAAAAGGCCATGCCACACACATCTATCCTGCTCTACTGTGGACACATAATAAACACACCAACAAACCAACACATTCTACTTTGTAATGCTCTACCTACAACTCACCTGAATCTTTTTCACCAAACCCTTCCTTTTCAGTCTACTATCTTTGAAATTTTCTGGCAGAATCTATGAAAGAATAAATTGACATATAAATAGATTTTAGGAAAAGTGACATGTCTGAAACAACCACTCAAGACCCATCAAATATGTCACAGGTCACTGATATCCATGAGACATGCATGTTTGGGAATCCTTCCCCTGAGTCTGGATCCTACATGGACTTTCTAATGGCTCTTGCCTCTATAAGAGCTCCCTTTATTCTCAATGTGGGTCACGGAAACTGACTTGTAATGTGGATTTTGTCCTTTCACTTTCTCATGTATGGATAGTATGTCCTGCCCAAAGTATAATCTCATCCCAACCCCAAGCAAAGTAGTTCATCCCCAAGAATGAAGCATCATCCTGGAGATAACCATTACCTTCATCTGTAAAAGGGAACATGGAATCAATGATTCTCAATAGTCTCATGAGAGGCTAGTCTGACTGAATTATTCAGATAATGAGCTCTGTGACATAAATAAGTCATATAAATATCAGAAAAGCAAAGCACTGCGTTTCTCTGACCATGAGACCATGGATCACTTGGTTTTAGCTTCATGAGAATTAAGGATTGTACTAGGATGTGACTAAATAAAAATGACAAAAGCCCCATGCTGGTGGAATGAGTGTGCCTTGTAATCAGAACTGTCTTACCTATCTGTATTCACCTAGGATCTAGCAGTGTCTGACACATAGTAGGTACTAAACATCCTCAGGTAACGGGCTTGCTCAGACAATAAGATTGCAGTAAGGAGAATGTAACTGAAATATAAGCAAAGGAAACTGGTTCTTCTCAGTTGAATATTGAATTACCAGCGTGTCAATCTCCTCCAAGATCTTCATAAATTGCTCAATTGTGGCTTTTACTCTCCTGTTGAGTTTGCAAAGAGCTTCAGCTTGCAAGTCTTTGGCCAGAAAACCCTGTGGAGGAGTAAGCATTATTGCAAGGATTCCTTGAGGCCGACAGAAAACCCCAAGCCAAGGAACTGACGAAGTAGCTACATCTTAAGGTCACATTCACCTAACAGGCTAGGCCAGATCTCACACCCACCATTTCACCACAGAAAAAACCAGAAAAGTTGGCCTTGAGCCAACACAAGCACTGTAACAGGCTGCAGGCTCCTCTATCTCATGCGGCCCACCAGGGCTTGCAAGTGCCTTCTGAGGTCTGACTCTGGTGAAGCCAGGAGCATTTACCTGTATCAAGAGTCAGGCATTAAAGAGCACAGGGCTTAGAGATTCACAGGCCTGGGCTTAAATCCTGACTGCCATTTACTGATTTGTGATCTTGAAGAAGTTAGTTAACTACTCTGGGTGTCCTCATTTTTTAAATGGAGATTATGATACCCACACCCCAGTGGTTACCATGAGGACAAAGGGCAATAAATACTCTTAACATAAACCCTGACAGTCAGTGCTAGCAAATGGCCACACATACATTATTTTTATTAAACTGTCTTGCTGTTGAGTCACATTGGTTAGCCTAATGACCAGTTAGCTGGTAACAACAGGTGGATAGCAGGGACCTCTGAGGATGTTTATCAAAGCTAACACCTACAAATGCAGATTTGACAATATGTAGCAAAAGCTGTACATAGCAGCCAGCAATTCCAACTCAAAGAATTTTTCCTACCAAAAAAACGGTCAAAAAAGATTTTTGCCCAAGGACATTCAAAGAAGCTTTATGCATAATGGGAAAATGTTGGTTGATGAGCACTAAAGAATAGTCAGGTAAACCATATATTCATTTATGATTAAATATTATGCCAAGTTTTAAAAAGTATGATCATCTGAGAGAGGGGATCAAACTATTTATTGAGGAGCTTCAGGAGAGGATCAAAGGGCTAGCACGACAGAGATCCCATGTCATCAGCTGCTGAAAGCTGCTGATCATTTTTAATGACATAGGAAAAAGTTCAATTTTTTATCCAGTAAGAGAACAATTTACAGAGTATACATAACATGCTAATAGTTTGTTTTTTTTAAAAGATTTATTTATTTATTTATACAAGCACTGGGTACAGTCAGAAGTGCGGGAGGGTGAGAGAATTCACCAGAGCCAGAGCGGGGAGCAGAGCAGGCAGAAGGACCGAGGTACACTGCTGAGGGGAGCATTGGGCAGCAGGAGAGGTCTGCGCGCCATGTGGGACCCTCCTCTGGTGGCGGGTGAGCAGCCAGAGATCGAACCAGTGCCGCAGAGGCCGCGGGCAGCTTCGTGACCCAGCGCTCAACCGCTGCGCCACCGGGGAGGCCCATGCTAATAGTTTTTTAAGGTAAAACATAGTCCAATCTTAGAAACTGCTTTGAGTTAGGTCTTACAGGTAACTTTTATTTTCCCTATAAGTGCCCTTACGTTTATTTAAAATATTTACAATCACAGCACGTATTACTTTTGTAATTAAAACACAAACATATCCATAGTTACAAAAGCAATTGGGGGAGTAATAAGTTGTTTGGAGCTGAACCCAATCCTTACTTGGTTTCAGTACTCCATGCAAAGAACTGAATGGCCCCTTGCTAAGATCATGCACAACTTCAACTTTCTATAGAACTAAATGTCCCCTTGCTAAGCACACTGTAACAGACTAGACTGAAACAAATAGATCCTAGGCTGGCAGGTGCTCTCCTAGGAGCACAAATGGTTGTTGGCTGGGCTTTGACTGTAACAATGACAGTAACACTTAAATAGCACCTAGTATGGGGGGGGGGGTAACAAAGGGAGAGGGAAGAACACAAGAAACTATGATGACAGTTCATGGATGATTTGGGGTGGGAATTTTATAGGGATTACACCTGGGGGAGAAATCAATCATCATACAAAAGTGAACAATGATGTGAAAATAAAATAATTTAAAAAAAGCACTTATATGTGTCAGGCTCAAACTACATTGTTTAATCCTCACAACAACCTTAAGAGGGAGGTACCACCATTATTCTCTTTTTATAGAGAAGCACTTGAGATAAAGGCAAACTGGTCCAAAGTGATAGAGTAGAGCCAGGATCTGAACCCAGAGAGTCTGACTACAGAAGCTGCCCTGGTAACTACACAGTGTGTCTCCACAAAGTTCTGGTAGAAGACAAAAAGTCAAAGTTCACTAAAACGAGTTACCTGCTGAATTCCAGTAAGTTCTTTATTTAATTCTTGTAGTTGGTTCGCTATCTTCTCCACAGACTTCTCCAAATCTTTCAACTTCTTCAGCTCAACCTCTTCCTCTGGACTATTCTAAAATGTTTCAGAATAAAATGAAGTTAATAATTAAGAACAGTAGGGGTCTCGTGGCACAGGGGTTAAAGACATAGCACTACCAAGTTATCACCAGCCACTGCAGCATGGTTCACTCTCTGGCCAGGGAGCTAACCCACATGGTACAGCAGACCTCTCCTGTCTTGCCCGCTGCTCCCCTCAGCAGTGTATTTCAGTAGATCTGCCTGTTCTGCTCCCCACTCTGTCTCTGGTGAATCCTCTTACCCCTCACCTCTAGCCTAGACCCAGTTCTTGCAGGCATAAATAAATAAATGAATCTTAAAAAAAATATTTAAGAATAGTAGCCTCTGTCAGAAAATAAAACCTGACCACAATTAAGCACATATAATCAATCTTACTCAAAAGGAGAATTAAGGCATCACACTCCCAGACTTCGAACTATACTACAAAGCCAGAAAATATAGTCTTACTCGAAAGGAGAATGGAGGTATCACACTCCCAGACTTCAAACTATACTACAAAGCCATAATAATTAAAACAGCATGGTACTAGAACAAAAACAGATACACAGACCAATGGAATCAAATTGAAAACCCAGAAATAAAGCCACATATATATGGACAATTAATCTATGACAAAGGAGCAAAGAATATGCAATGGAACAAGGACAGTCTCTTCAATAAATGGTGTTGGGGAAACTGGACCACCACATGCAAAAGAATGAAACTAGACTACTACCACATACCATACACAAAAAGCAACTCAAAATGAGTAAGACTTGAATAAAGACCTGAAGCCATAAAATATATAGAAGAAACAGGCAAAACACTCCATGACATATACCTCAGAAACATCTTTGAGCACTCATCTCCAGGAAAAGATAAACACTTGGACAAAAGGAAACTAAAAAGCTTCCACAAAGCAAAAGAGATAATAACCAAAACAAAGAGACACCCTACTGTTTGGGAGAAAATATTTGCACTCCTTATAACTGATAAGGGACTGATTCCAAAGATCTACAAAGAGCTCACACAACTTGCAAAAACAAAGCAAACAACCCAGCCAAAAAATGGGCAGAAAGATACTTCTCCAAAGAGGAAATGCAAATGGCCCACAGGTATATGTAAAAAAAAAAAAAACCGCTCAACATGACTTATAATCAGGGAAATGCAAGTCAAAACCACAATAAGATACCACCTCATGCTGGTGAGAATGGCCCATTTAAAGAAGCTGGTAACAACAAATGCTGGCAAGGATGTGGAGAAAAAGGAATCCTTCTTACACTGCTGGTGGGAATGCAAACTGATCTAACCACTGTGAAAAGTAGTGTGGAGGACCCTCAAACTACCGAAAATGGAGCTAGCATATGACCCAGCAATTCCACTCCTAGCAATCTACCCAAAGGAAACCTGTACTCTTGTGTTTATTGCAGCACTATTTATAATAGCTAAGATACAGAAACAACCTAAATGCACAGAAATAGATGACTGGATCAAGAAGATATATATATATACACAAAAGAATACTATTCAGCAATCCAAAAAGATAAACTCAGGCCATTTGCAGCAACATGGATGGAGCTGGAAGGGATCATGGTCAGAAAAATATGTCAGAAGGAAAAAGAAAAATATCAATGGCTTCACTTATAGGAGGAATATAGAGAAACCAAACAAGGGGTCAGGAAAAAAAAGACAAAACTAGCGGGCAAACTATAAATTGGAGACACACAGCAGCAGAGGGCGAGGGATCAAAGCAGGGGCGGAAAGAGCATAAGAGACTATGGTGATGGTTCATGGGTGACTTACTTGGTGGTGGCAATTTTATGGGGATTACAACTGGGGGAAATCAAACATTTTACAAAAATGGACAAAGATGTAAAAAAAAAAACAAATTAAAAAAGAAAATATAGTCTTAGTTCAGCTGCTTCTTGGAAAGTAAGCGAAAGGATTATGCACAAAGATTTTCTATCTACAAAGACTCAAGTCTAGAGATAATGTATTAGGTAAACATTCTGACAACTTGGGTTCAGAGAATGGGCCAACCAGATTCAACCTAAGCCTAGGGCTAATAGCAACAGCTAGACTAAACCCTGTGGGGCAAACAAATCACAGTGGAGTCAAGAATGGCAAAGACAAGTGGAATCCTATCACTCCTTTCAATGGAGTTCCTACATGCCATCCACCAACTAAGCACTTCTATTTAATATGATGATTACAACGATGAATATTTTGAGTGAATATTCCCACCATGCCAGGTAGTATCCTAAGCACATTACCTGTATTATTGATTTAAGTCTTACCACAGCCCAATGAGAGAGGTACTATTTTGAGATGATGAAACTGAGGTTTAACGTAAAGTAATCTAAGGTTGTATAAACCAAGAGCTGGAGGAGCTGAGACTTGAATTAGACTGTGCTCCACACACCCCAGAAAAGCTCAAATGGGGGCCCTATATCTTCTTCAAATTCAACCTTTGGGCTCTGCCCATTGTCCAGCCCCATTCTCCCTGACCCCTGAGTAAGAAATCTAGAATATTTCCCCTTCTCTCACCTAAGTAATTGGTAGCTAAGGCCAGCAGCATTCTGCTTTCATACTATACCAAATTGTTCACATTCTTCTTTGTGGCCAAATCCTAAGTTCGTTTCCTGGCAGTTCCAAGTCTGGACTAGATTTTCCTTGCCTCCACTTTGCTAATCTCTGCCCTCTCTTCACTGTGAATCAGCCACCTCACTTGAAGAGAACTTCATATCACCAACAATTTCACTGTGTCACAATACAGGGCTGACAAGGTCCTCTCTCATCATCCCAGGAGCTCACCTCTCGTCAACTCTTTCCCCCCACCCTGCCAGTTTTCTTTAGTCTGAACCTTTCTTTCCAGCCAAAGAGGGTTGTTTTCATTGTGGGAGATTTTAGTAAAAAGGGAAGTTAAAAGGAGAAAGAAAAATACCGGATGGTCTCACTCATAGCAGGGATCTAGAAAACTTAAATAAGGGACCAGGAAAATGAATAACTATAAGAAAGTGAAAATCAAAATCAACAAAAACTATGAACCAGAGACACTTTTTGGGGGGTGGGGGGCGGGAGGGGAGGGATTGGGGTCAGAATGGGGGGATTGCAATTGTATGGGGAATATAAAAATAAAATTTATTAATTAAAAAAAAAAAAAAAAAAGGAGAAAGATTCCTGAAATTTGCAGAGTACTTAATTTTTAAGTGTACAGGTTTTCTTTCTTGAACAAAATTCTTTCTTACAAATCCCCCTCTGAATCAGTAAGGTCTGTCTCAGATACCATTTTAATGAGACTGAGATTTGCCCACCAACATAAAAGCCATGTTGTTGAGGCAGTATTACTTCTCCTAATTCCCAGAGCAAAACCCTTAACCAATGAGTTGGAGGGCATGAGAACAAGAAAACTGGTAGTGACATCAAACAAGTAGAGATTGTATTTGTTTAGAGTGCTATTTCACCAATACAGAACCAGGGTCCTCAATTTGGCCTTCTAAACAAAAATATGTATAGATAACCTTAGTCATATAATTCTGAGGCATTCTGGTAAAAAAAAAGTAATTTACCTTTTTCCCAATTAACATGACCCGGCAACCATTTTGTATTCCAATTGCCGATAATGGCTGTTCCATTTCCTTCAGAGATTTTCCTGGGGAGAAAAAAAAAGTAATGTCAAACTGTAACAATCGTACAATACTGAACATAGATTTCAGCAAGGGTACAGGAAATAGACAAGTGTGTCCACAAATGAGAAGAGGAGAAATTGGTGTAAACTTTAAGGAGCTGTCTTAACCCAGTAATTTTACTTCAGATATTTATCCTAAATAATTGGACATGTGCCTATTATACAGTAATTTTGTGCAACTTTATTCACAACAGTGAGCCAAAAATTCAGGGACAGAGTACAGATTATACTGATCAACCATACATCAGTACAACAGAAGACTTTTTTTTTTTTTTTTGTGGGACCCTCGCCTGCAGCCGGGGAACGAACTGGCACTGTAGAGGCTGCGGACAGCCTCACAGCCCAGCGCTCAACTGCTGCACCACCAGGGGAGGCCTTACAATAGAAGACTTTTGAGAGTAAGCAACACAGCTTATTTTTTCATGAAACTTCAATGCCACAATAAATGATGATGATTGCAGTGTCATCAGAAAAAAATTTATAGGGCCTCCCTGGTGGCGCAAGGGGTTAAGCACAGCACTGTGAAGCAATGAGCACCCTCTGCAGCATGAGTTCAATCCCCGGCCAGCCAGGGAGCTACCCTGTATAATCAATGCGATCTGTTTTATCAAGAATAACAATAAAACAAACACAAACAAGAACCTACCCTTCCAGATGCCAAGACAAACAAAAAAAATAGCTGGACAAAAATATACTAAAATGTTATGAGGGGCTTTATTCAAGAGAATATATTCTTCATGCTTTGTTCTATTTTAAAACATGGATTGCTTTCATAATTCTGAAATAAAATGTTTTTAAAAGAAAAGATAAGGAGTTGCGCTATGAATAAAAATATTCTCCATCATTAAATTCTTTATAATAATTGGCACCAAATAGAATAAACCTGGCCCCATCAGATTTCAGAATATCAGAACCCTATGGGTTCCCATAGGGATGGGAGGACTGAGGAAGGGGGTGGGAAAGAAATGAGCATCATTCACTGGATCTGGATCCGCCATATCCAGACCCTGGTATGTTTGTTCGACATTCACTGTCAGCACTATGCTGGGCATTGGGCACACAGGAGTATCTCTGCCCTCTTGGAGTTTGTTATTCTGAGAAACCAGATGTGAAGCAACTAAGAAAGCAACTACTTGATCATAATTTCAATGCAAGTTATGCAGGAAGTAGTAGGGAGTACCATATGAATATACAATGGGAAGAGGATCTGAGCCGGGGAAGACTGCCCATGTGCTTCATCGAATGGTAAAATTTCCACAACACTTCTAAGATGTCAACTCTAATACCTGCCCAAATATTTTAAAGTGTCCAGTCAGAGCAGGTCCTCAATAAATGCTTATTGAAGGAATAAACAAGAAATGTCCCAATTTGAAAAATCCATTAGGTAAGGGTGTTTTAAACATGCCCTTTAGGAATAAAGACTCAAAGCTGCAAGAGAAATACCTACCCTTAAAAATGAGCTTCTGAAAAGACAGCGGGACTCCTGTGGCCTCTTCAACAACCTGGGCTAGGTCTTGGACAACTGGTTCACTACTGCCCTGTTGTGGGGTAACATGAAGGTCATGCTTCTCATTGCCTGGGGAGAGAAAGGCACTTGTTAAGTATTTCACATAAACCAATATAGGCTGACATTTTATTATCTTTATTTACCCAGCCTTTAAGCCTGACTTCATATGCCACTTATTCCAAATAGCCTCTTCTCCCATCTGCCAAATTTTCCTCTGGAGACATGCTCAAAGATTTTTGATTGCTCAATTACAGTAACTAGCAATATTAGTGACATAGTAGCTAACATTTTAAGCAGTTAATATGCAAAGGGAGCTATCCTAGGCTCACATCATCCATTATTTTCATTCTCAGAACTACATGAAATAGGTACCTATTACTGTTTATCAGCAAACTGTTAGTTCATTCCAGTTAAGACCTGCCTTTGGAGACCTAGCCCATGGAGCTGGAACTTGACCTCATCTGATTCCAAAGCCCACGCTATTCATCACAAGCCATCTGTCTCCTGTGTCCTGAGTGCTCTGTATGTTGTATTGCATAGTGGCCTTGACTCCCTTGTTGCCAAGGTTAAGGAACTGTTTTTCCTTCCATGTGTCTTCCATTGGACACGGTGAACAGACAAATGAATAAATTTGAAAAGCAGAAACTTTCTTTTTGTAGCAAAGAAGTCAATTATTTTCCACCTATGTGGGCAGTAAGGAGGTAACATCACTCCTTACTGATGTCCCATGAGTGATATCCCATGCATCACTCCAAGCCTTGAGCCTGCTAAGCCACATGAAATCAGCAGAGTAGGTGTTAACTACAATGCAGAGAAAAGAAATCAGATGCCTAGACAGGTGTGACCTCTTAAGGTCACTCAAAACTGCAGGATCTAGAATCCTGGTTTCCAGATTCAGAGGCACTGAAGTCTCCCCTAGCTGGACCTGAGAAAACCTCATGGACTCAGCTCTCTGGTGAACTGACTGGTTCTATGTCAATTCCAACAGGAGGCAGACTGCAGAATGCTGGAGACCCAGAGCCCACTCAAACAGTGGACATGAGTCCAGACTCGGCAGGTGTATAAGTGTCCAGACACGGGAGTCACACACCACGTCGCCAAATACAAACCTGACACAATAAAAAAATAAGAACCACGGTAACTTGCAGGCACACGATAACACAACTAGGAGAACGACATAAATCTCGAACATCGGCGGTCAAACCCATGAGAGAGACAAAACACACAGGCTTGTGACACTACATGGGCAGGCGTGCAGCCACAGACCCGCACACCAGCCAGCACACCGGTGCAAACAAGAACCCCACATGGGGACGCCAGGACAAACACGAGGACACACGCTACCGGAGCGCACGTGGCCAAACTCCCGGGCACCGCACCGCGCCCCCCCGCCGCCCGCGCTCACTGTGGGTGACGGTCACGGTGAGCCCGGCGGCCGCCATGTCCTCGCTCCAGGCCACCTCTTGGCTCTGAGTCACTTCTTCGCCCGGGATCCCCGCTTCGCTCTGAGTCACCTCCTCGCTCCGAGTCACCTCTCCAGCCAGGGCCACCTCGTCAGCCTGGGCCACCTCTCCAGCCAGGGCCACCTCTCCAGCCAGGGCCACCTCTCCAACCAGGGGCACCTCGTCAGCCAGGGTCACCTCTTCAGCCTGGGTCACCTGTTCAGCCCGGGCCACCTGTTCAGCCCGGGCCACCTCGTCAGCCCGGGCCACCTCTTCGCTCCGGGCCGAGCGAGGCCGGCCTTTCTTCTTCACCCGCGGTCGGCGGGCGCCGGCGGGGGTGCCCCGGGTGGAACGGGCATGTCCGCTGCCTGCACTCTTGAGGGAGGGTCGCTGCGAGGGAGGCGGGCCGCGCTGGGCCTGGGGTTCCGCCTGGCGCGGCTCCCGGCCGGGCCGAGGGGCGCGCCGCCGGGTGCCCAGCCGCTCGCGGTCGCCTCGCGGTCTCTGCGCGCCCCCGCGCTCCGCCAGACCCGCGCTTGAGGACCGCCGGGCGGTGGGAGCAGAGGTCAGCGTCCTGCAACCCCGCGGGGACACCCTCCCGCCCCGCCCCGGCTGCCGACCCCACCCCCCGAGCAGGCCCCGCTCCCGCTCCGCCCTATCCCGCCACGCCGCTCCCCCGGATCCCGCCCATTCGCCGAGGCCCCGCCTTGCTCGGGTGAAGCCACGCCCACTTCCGTCACCGAGGCCACGCCCCTCGGCAGACGCTCCCTGCCCCGGAAGGCCGAGCTGAAACCCGGAAAAAGGATCAGGAAACGCCAGCAGCACTGCTGCGCCTGCGCACTGGGGCCGGAAGTCAAGGCGGAGAACTGCTTCCGTTTCTGGTTTTGCTCCAGTGTTTGGGTGTTCTGCGCTGCCGCCCAAGATGAACCGATTCTTCGGAAAAGCGAAACCTAAGGCCCCGCCGCCCAGCCTGACTGACTGCATTGGCACGGTGGGCACTTGACCTCGAGTACCCAGGTTCAGGGCCTCTGGCACCCCGGACCCCGCCCACCCCGATTCGCGGCGCCCGCTCCATTCCACTCGCGCTCCCAGGGCCCATTCCACCTCAGCGCTTTCACCCCACCTTTGTTCCTGTTACCCAGGTCATTCCTGACGCCACAAACCATGGACCCCATCGCTTGTCTCGCCTGCTTGCACCCAGCGCGTTCTGATAACCCGCTGCTCTGCCGCCCGCTCTGTCCTTATCGCCTCACCCCAGCCTGCCTTAGATACAGTCACCCTTCCTACTAGGCCAGCCCGTCCCCTTACCCTTTCATCCGTCACCCCCTCCCGCGTCAGAACGCTCAGTTTGATAGCCTAGGTCAACGTCTGTACCCCGTACCTAGCTCTCACTAACACGAAATTCAGAACCCTGGCTTCCCACACTAAAAAGAGCATTAGATCCACGGCCCTAGCCATGATTTCCAGGTACTAGTACATTTCACACACCTTTTGGTTGAGCCCCCAGCCTGACAAGTTTCCAGTTCTTGGGAAATACCTACTCAACCCAGTCAGTCTCAAGTAGTTTTCCTGCCCACACACACTTGAGGGGGACCCTGGGATATTAGAATCTGGGGGCGGAGTGTAGTTTATAAAAGCCCCCATTGTTTCTGACTGGAAATCAACCCCCGTTCCCCACTAGAAATCTTCATCACATTCTCCTTTTTATCTTTTTTCTCCATATTCCTCCTTCTCCTGCCCCTCCTTACATAAGTGTATTGAAATAATTACCACTACCTTTGTTTTGTTTTGTTTTTTTTCTTTTAGGTGGACAGCAGGGCAGAATCCATTGACAAGAAGATTTCTCGACTAGATGCTGAGCTAGTGAAGTATAAGGATCAGATCAAGAAGATGAGAGAGGGTCCTGCAAAGGTAAAGTGGGCTGCAGCTGCAGAAGGTGCTATGACAACTTAGTTTGAGCTCCCGGTGGTAGGGGCTGCTGAGAGATATAGAAGAGATGCTTACAGTCTAGTAAAGAGAAAAAATTTGACCCAGTAGAGAGAAGATACTGATAAAATGTCCAGAAGTATGTACATGGCAATTAGTATATTCTCTTGAGAAGGTGGCTGTGTGGAAGGGAGGGCTTTGCTGTGCTCAGAACAGTGAGTTACCAGGCTGGTCAGGTTAGGTGAGTGTAATAGACTGGTAAGGAGTGGCCTGCTGAGAACTACTGCAGCAGTCATCAAGAGACCAGGGCTCTAACAATAACACCATCATTATCTGTTAGCTCTGACCTTGATAAAGTCAATTTTTTATTTTCCTCTTCTGTTAGGTAAAAACATTGAGTACTGTATTTAAGTATATGGACACTAGATATAAGACTGCCTGTTCTTTCCCAGCCCAGTAATGTATTAACCATGTGGGCCAGGGCAAGTTAGAATAACTGAACCTCAATTTTCCCATCTGTTAAAATGGGGATAATAACTATATTGTTGTTTGAAGATTAACTGTGTGATTCATGTGACCTGAATAGCCCTGTGTCCAGTACAGAAACATTCAGTAAATGTTAGATATTATTGTCATCTGTGAAGTAATCACATCTGCTTTCCCTTCCTCATTAGAAAGGATAAATAAAATGGTTGATGGACAATATAGAAAGGGAAGTGACAAGAGGCTTTTCTTAACCATCTTAGTTGGATGGTATGGAATGAAGAGTGACCTGAGGCAGGAAAGCTTATCTAAGCTCGAGGAGATGAAAGCCAAAACCATGGTGGTAGTCATGAGAATGACATAATAGGAGCCAATTTTAAAGTGAGTTCCGAACTATGCATTAAGACCCAACATATAGAGGAAAGGTAAAGTTGATATAAAGAACCTCATACTCAAGAAATTAGTGGAGCCATTATCAGTAAATCCAAGGTGAGGTCAGTTTGCAGAGTTCAGACATGTTGAGTGTGAATGGATAGGAAGGTATCAACTGGGAAATCTCCCTAAGGCTAGTGGCTATAGAAATTCAGCATGGTTGCAACTGCCAGTAGAGATAATAATGCACAAGGAAAAAGGAACATAGTTCAATACATTGAGATGTGGTATGCAAAGACAGACAAGTAGAGACTTAAAGGCTGCTGGGGGCCTCCCTGGTGGCCTAGGGGTTAAGTCTCAGCGCTATCACCTCTACAGCCTGAGTTCAATCCTCATCCAAGGAGCTTCCTCATATACGGCATAGCACACCTCTCTCTCCTGTATTGCCATCTGCTCCCCTTAGCAGTGTATTTAGTAAATCTGCCTGTTCTGCTCTCCACTCTGTCTCTGATGAATACACACATACACACACCTGCACCCCAGTTCTTCTACACAAAAATAAATTCTAAAAAATTTTTAAATAAATAAAAGACTGCTTGGGAGGTGAAGAATAATCCAGGAGCTACTATGTGTCTGCTACTTTGAAGTAAGAATGAGTAGTTATGCAAGTTTGAGGATTTGAGAGATTTCTTTTGCCATATGTATATTTTCAACTTCTTTTCATTAAAATCTTTTTCTCCCCAGAATATGGTCAAGCAGAAAGCCTTGCGGGTTTTAAAGCAAAAACGGATGTAAGTTATAGATTTAATCTCCTTTCATCTAGTAGTTTTAACCCAAAAAAGGAAATGATCTTCTATTCCTTTGGCTTTTCATACCATCTTATAAACATTCTTGATTTAATTATGCAGTTAGCTGCATTTTCTTTTCCCCTACATCTTAAATAGTATTTGTTACAGCTCTGTCCATCTAAATAGAACTTTTGCTATGATGGATCTGTTCTGTATCTGTGCTGTCCAGTATAGTAACTCAGCCCCTTGTGGCTACTGAGCACTTAAAATGTGGCTAGTCTGACTAAGGAACAAAAGTTTTAATTTAATTTTAACAATTTAAGTAGCCATATATGTGGCTAATGTCTTCTGTATTGGCCCACCCAGATCTATCGACTTTAGTTCTGTTGTACCTTTATATTTTTGTCTGTAAAACCTGAGTATTTCTTCCTGCCCACCAGAATAGATGTAAGGGTCCTTGATTTTTTTTTTTTTTTTTAGGTGATTATGCCCCAGTGTTTGAACAGAAATCAATTAATATCTTTGGTGCTTCCTCCCGTGGACTGTCCAATAGATGATACCCTCTGTAGGGTTACAAAGCTCAGACACAGCTAATAAGGAGTAAGAGGATTGTTGATATCTCTCTTCCTGTTTGAAAAATCACTTTATGAGATATCAGATAACATCTTTCTTCTTCTACATTTGACAAAAATTGGAAAAAATTATAATGCCTAGAATGGTGAGAATGTAAAACTTATCTTGCTTGGTAGCATTGAACTTTTAATTAACTTTTTCAATTTTTTTTTTATTAAACTTTTTTTTAAGTAACAGTTTTTTGTAGAAACTTTGGAAAATATGTAAACATTAATAAAAGAAAAAGAAAAAAGAATTTCTTGTAGAAGTCTTACTACCAGAAATAACCACCTTAACATGGTTACTTCTGGCGTCTTAGTTTCTTTTCTTTGCTTGTGCATGCATGGTATATGTGCATTAGAAGAAAACAAATTGTCTTGTGTGTATATAGGTTATCCTTTTCCACCTAATTTTATATATAAAATTTTATATATAGATTTATATATATATATCCAATCCTTCATTAGTCTGTAATACTATCCAAAAGTATGAATTTGGGAACTTAGACTTTTTAATGGGTTCCTTTGCACCAGGAATTGACCATTTTTCTTCTGGTTAGATAGATGGGTCCCAAATATTGTGTAAAGTACACAGTGACATAAGTTTTTGAGGTAGTATTGGACTTTGTTTAAAAAACAAACATTTTGAGTGCCAGGTCAGTCCATATTATGACAGATGGATTACCTGATTATATATATAAGATTAATAAAATAGAATACCTATCCTCAAGGAGTTGCGTTTACTAGGAAAACAGTTTAGCTATATGCTTGAAGAGCCTTAAAAATAGTCTCACTCTGCCCTAGAATTCAATTTCTGAAAATTTAGCTTAGGAAATAATCTAAAACATTATGAAGTCATATATTAATAAGACTTTGTAGAAGGGGGCCTCCCTGATGGTGCAGGGGTTAAAAACAGTGCTATCAAGCTATTGTCAGTCATTGAAGCTCAGGTTCAATCCCCGGCCAGCCAGGGAGCAACCCGCATGGCACAGCAGTTGCCCGCTGTTCCCCTGCCTGTTCTGCTCCCCATTCTCTCTGGTGAATCTTCTCACCACCCTCCCTCATCTCTGGCTTACACCCCAGTTCTTCTATGCATAAATAAATAAATCTTTAAAAAAAAAAGACTAGTAACATAAAAAACCACAATTGCTGTAATGTTAAGTGGAAAATAGTATTATAACTAAAATAAACATAAAGGAAAAAGACAGAGGACACCAAATGATATTTGTATTAGAGTGAATACATTGTTTTTCCCACTTTTTAAATTTTTTTTAATTATCTTATTTAACATTAGAAATACTTTTTTCCTGAGAATTTCTATGTGAGAGAGGGATGGGACTAAAGAAAAAAAAATTCTATGTGGCTCATACTTTCCATTCTCTTAAAAAGGTATGAGCAGCAGCGGGACAATCTTGCCCAACAGTCATTTAACATGGAACAAGCCAATTATACCATCCAGTCATTGAAGGACACCAAGACCACGGTACCTTACCCCTAAAGTGCCTTTTTCTATGATTTTATTTTATTTTATTTTTGTACTTGAGTTCTTTTCCCATGGTTTTTAAAAGACAGTTTAACCAACATGATTTCTTAAGACATGACATTCTCTCTTACCTTTTTTTAGGTTGATGCTATGAAAGTGGGAGTAAAGGAAATGAAGAAAGCGTACAAGCAAGTGAAAATTGACCAGATTGAGGTGAGGTGAAAATGAGTTTCTGTAAGAATGGGCACTAAGCCATGCAAAAAAATCCTCCTTTTCTGGCACTGGCTCCTTTGTGCACGAGTCATTAGCAAAGGCTTTGCATGGTGTGGGGGTCGGGATTGAGGGAGAATGTGCACTAGTTTCTGATAAGAATCCAAATGAATGTGTATGTGATAGAAAGAGCACAGAAGAGGGATTGAGTCGTGACCTGCCAGGTACTTTCTTTATTGTTGGTACAAGGATCCTAATAATTAGATATGGTTATTAGGAGGATGAAAGAAATGAACTTGTATATCTGCATGAAACCTTGCCTGACACATAATAAGCACCCAGTAAATAAGAACCCAGTTTCCTGTTTGACATCTAGTTTACTTAATGAGTTTTGGTCTGGTGTTGCTGAGATGATGTACATAAATTATTTAACACAGTTCCTGGTGTAACGATGGTTCTCTTTCCTAGTAATCGCTCTTTAGATTTTTAATAATAATGTCATTAGGTCCCTAAAATTAACATCTCTTTTGAGACGGTGTTTTGACTGCGGAGGTGGGCCCTCAGAGCTTGACTCCTCTTGCTCTGTCAGGTGAGCAGCCCAGATGGCAAACAGAGAGAGCAGAGGGAGTGGGTGGTGACTGAGCAGAGGAAAGAGGCTGCTTTTCTGCAAATGTGATGGTGGTCTTTGCTTCTCCCTCTGAGTAGAATTTCTCTATGAGGGCAGAGACCATAGTTGGTGCTCAGAGAAGTATTTGATAAACAAAGAAGAGGCAATTACAGGAGATAAAGTTGTTCTGCCCAATTCAAGCAGTATTTACTGGCTGAGTAACTGCTTACTATGACTTCAGCATTTTACTACCTCTGTATAGGTATTCTCTGGTTCTGCCAGTCTTAGGAAAGAATGAAGGCACTCCTTCCGTCTTCCTTTTTCTCAGTACCCCTCCTTGGGCTACCCAGAGCCATTTCTTTAATTCTCCATCAGTCTCTGCCTACAAGGAGTTAAGCTTATTGATATCTTTCAGGAGATTTACTGCAAAAAATGTTCCATGTATGTCTTACTGGCACCATACTTTCGGTAATGAAATATAGTGACATTGAATTTTTATCTTCTGCTTTTAGGGTTCCTTGTTTTTTAATTAGAACTGTTTAGTATAAACAAAATGGAAACTTTGGTCTTTTGATTTTCTTGTATGTGTCTCTCTCCTTAACCTGTGGTTGTCTATCTCCCTGTCTCATGATCCTTTCTTGGCCCTAATAAATTTGCCCACATGACAGATCCAAGCCCCATCTCTCTCTTTTGGGGGTGGAGGTGTGTCTTTGGCTGGGCTATATCTTTTGAAATTCAGTTGTTTTCCTAAAATATTTTACTAAAAACATTTTCATTGTTTCATGGCTCTCATTTTTCAATTTTATGTGTGCGTTCATGTGTGTGTGTGCATGCATGTGTGTGTGTGCGTGTGTGTGTGTAGAACCCTGTCTCTGTCCTTTTTATTTTTCAGTTTCTGCACATCAAGTTTAGTAATGTTTTGTTTATTTTGCTTCTGTATGTTTGCTTATCCAGAATTGAATCTAATTTTCCATGTAATGATTTTTTTCCTAGAGTCTATCCTAGAGTCGATTGCTAGGATTCCTATTCATAGATGATATTGGAAACTTATCTTGTTATGTAATAGCATAGTACAAACTTGATTTGATTAACTTTTTTTTTTTTCCCACTCATTGTTTGAGCTGTTGTTTCTCTGTATAACAGAATGTTACACATGTAAATATGGTGATTTAGTAGGTGGAAATGCAGAAAAGCAAAGTGTTTCCTTTAAAAAAGTGTTCTCCATTTTACTTTCTAATCTCTTCACCTTATGAAAAGTATACCTCTGATTTGGGGTATAAAAATTCTTGGAAAAGAATTTTCAAATGTTTTGCATTGCTCTAAAAAATTCAAAATAAATAGTACTTATTTAGACCTCTGTTCCCCTTTATGTTGAATTTTTGTTGTTCTGCAGTTCCTAAACACAATTGCAGATATATGGTATTAAGTGCTTAGTGTTACTTACTTGAGTAAATCCTTACAGTAACACTGTGAGGTGTGACTCTCAATAATCCCATTTTACACAGGCCTCCCTGATGGTGCAAGGGGTTAAGTCTCAGCACTATCAAGCTATCAGCAGCCACTGCAACACAAGTTCAATCCCTGGCCAAGTAGCTAACCCACATGGTGCAGCACACCTCTCCTGTCTCGCCTATTGCTCTCCTTAGCAGTATTTCAGTATATCTGCCTGTTCTGCTCCCCTCTCTGTCTCTGGTGAATCCTCTCACCCCCGCACCTCTGGCCTGTACCCCAATTCTTCTACACTAAAATAAAATAAAATTTTTTTAAAAAGGAATTACTCAAACCTGTCCTTTAGAGGAACACCTGCTCAGGTGTTGTCTAAAAATAGTACTGGGGCCTCCCTGGTGGCGCAGCGGTTGAGCGCTGGGTTGTGAAGCTGCCTGCGGCCTCTGCAGCGCCAGTTCAATCCCCGGCTGCTCCCTGGCCACTGGAGGAGGGTCCCACATAGCGCGCAGACCTCTCCTGCCGCCCGCTGCTCCCCTCAGCAATGTACTTCGGTCCTTCTGCCTGCTCTGCTCCCTGCTCTGGCTCTAGTGAATTCTCTCACCCTCCCGCACTTCTGACTGTACCCAGTGCTTTTATAAATAAATAAATAAATCTTTTAAAAAATTTTTAAAAACTAAAAAAAAAATAAAAATAGTACTGGCCAAGGACTGGGGTAAATAGAACTAACAGTTGAGAACTGGCTATGTGCTCATCATTTTATGTACATTAATCTTTTTAAAAGCTGCTTGTTTCTAAGGTTCAGAGGAGAGAGTAGTACATGGGGATAGTTGGAGAAAAATGGTAAGAATGAATAAAAATCTTGTCATGTATTTCTGTAGGATTTACAAGACCAGCTAGAAGATATGATGGAAGATGCAAATGAAATTCAAGAAGCACTGAGTCGTAGTTATGGCACTCCAGAATTAGATGAAGATGACCTAGAAGCAGGTAAGTTATGCGAAAGGCAGGGGCTACATACCTTTCAAGACTGAAAAGAGTGACTACCTGGAACCTCTTCCCAAATGCTGGAAAACATTTTGTTGAGGGTTCCCTGAGAATTCATTTGTGGTGCAGTCTCTGGTCAAAGAACTTGTGCGGCATCAGACTTGCATACTCCACCAGAAACTGAGAAGGACAACCTCTTAAGGAAGGTCCTGGCAAAGACCTGTGCTGACTTGGTGTTCAGTGTCTATACATTCCCTTGCCTACTGTTTCCCTTTTGATTTTTTCTTTATGTATTCCTACTGAGAACTCTCTCTCTGAGAACAATGAAGTAAATCAAAAAATAATAGTTGCTAAATACTTAGTGTGCATCTAGTATATGTTTGGCACTGTGTTTGGTGCTAGAGATTCAGCATTTGAGAATATGAACCCTGCATTCATGAAGCTTCTCTAGCAAGGGTAGGAAGCTACTTATTTCAGGTAATTAACTACAAGAGCTCAAACTATTGAGAAGAAGTATGGTGTAGCATTGAGCACATAGCCAGGAATCTAAACTGGTTGGGAGTAGAGGATAGGCACAGGACCTGGAGGATAATAGAGGCTATTAAGGAAAAATGAGAGGGATTGTTGAGCAGCCTCAGGCAGAGAAGTTTAGAAGCTATTGCTGGAGTCCATTTAAGAGATTATGGCAGGGCCTCCCCGGTGGCGCAGCGGTTGTGCGCTGGGTTGCGAAGCTGCCCGCGGCCTCTGCGGCGCCGGTTCGATCCCCGGCTGCTCCCCGGCCACCAGAGGAGGGTCCCACATGGCGCGCAGACCTCTCCTGCCGCCCGCTGCTCCCCTCAGCAGTGTACTTCGGTCCTTCTGCCTGCTCTGCTCCCCGCTCTGGCTCTGGTGAATTCTCTCACCCTCCCGCGCTTCTGACTGTACCCAGTGCATGTATAAACAAAACAAACAAACAAATAAATAAATCATAAATAAAAATACATGCCTCTTTAAAATAAAAATAAAAAAAAAAAAAAGAGATTATGGCAGCAGAGACTAAGAAACAGAGAGAAGTGGACAGATTGAAGATATTTTTGGAAGTTGAATGATCAAGATTGGCTGTGGAGGGATAGGGAGGTGTCAAGGATATCTGTTAATTTCTAGCATGAGTGACTAGGTAGCTGATAGAACCAACCCATACTAATTATCTGTCATATAATTTCCCTGTCATATTACTGTTTCTTTCTCTCTGCATGTTTGTTTTTGCCTGGAATTTTTTTTTTCCCTAGTCATTTTTTCATTTTTTTGTATTCCCCTCGTTGATTTTCTTCTGTTGAGTCTCTACTTCGGTTGACATTCCTCCTGATCATTTCCAATTCATTTTACCATGGACTTATTTTTAAAGCCTGCTTTCATATCATGGTCACTTACATTTGTTCTTGTGAGAATTTTCTAATATCATCGACTTATTGATAACACTAGAATTTTCTTTTTTTTTTTTTTCAACATGTCACTCTTATTTATTTATTTATTTTTTAATAAATTTTATTGTTATATTCCCCATACAATTGCAGCCCCCCCATTCTGACCCCAATCCCTCCCCTCCCGCCCCCGCCCCCCTAAAAGTGTCTTTGGTTCATAGTTTTTTGTTGATTTTGATTTTCACTTTCTTATAGTTATTCATTTTCCTGGTCCCTTATTTAAGTTTTCTAGATTTCTGCTATGAGTGAGACCATCCGGTATTTTTCTTTTTCTTTTTGGCTTATTTCGCTGAGCATGATCCCTTCCAGCGCCATCCATGTTGCTGCAAATTGCATGTGTTTATCTTTTTTGAATGCTGAGTAATATTCCATGGTATATATGTACCACATCTTCTTGATCCAGTCATCTATTTTTGGGCATTTGGGTTGTTTCCAAAGCTTAGCTATTGTAAACAGTGCTGCTATAAACATAGGGGTGCAGGTGTTCTTTGGAATTGATGTTTCTGTGTCCTTTGGGTAAATACCTAGGAGTGGAATTGCTGGATCCTATGGAAGCTCTATGTTTAGTAGGTCCAGAAATCTCCACACAGCTTTCCACAGTGGTTGGACCAGTTTGCACTCCCACCAACAGTGCAGAAGAGTTCCTTTTTCTCCACACCCTCGCCAACATTTGTTGTTGCTAGTTTTTTTAATATGTGCCATTCTCACTGGTGTAAGATGGTATCTCATGGTAGTTTTGATTTGCATTTCCCTGATGACAAGTGATGTTGAACATTTTTTCATATGCCTGTTGGCCATTTGCATTTCCTCTTCAGAGAAGTTTCTTTTTAGCTCTTCTGCCCATTTTTTAACTGGATTATTTTCTTTGTTGTTGTTGATTCTCATCAGCTCTTTGCAGATTTTTGTGATCAGTCCTTTATCATTAGTGTTGGGTGCAAAAATGTTCTCCCAGTTGGTGGGGTTTCTCTTTGTTTTTGTTATTGTCTCTTTTGCTGTGCAAAAGCTCTTTAATTTGATGTAGTCCCAGCTGTTTATCTTTGCCTTCACTATCACTGCTTTGGGTGATGTGTCTGTAAAGATGTCTTTGATGTGCAAATCACGTAGTGTTTCGCCTATATTTCCTTCTATATATTTTATGGTTTCAGGTCTTATGTCTAGTTCTTTAATCCATTTTGAGTTGATTTTTGTGTATGGTGTGAGGTAGTGGTCAAGCTTCATTCTTTTGCATGTAGCGACCCAGTTTTCCCAGCACCATTTATTGAACAAACTTTCTTTGCTCCAATGCATATTCTTTGCTCCTTTGTCAAAGATTAGTTGACCATAAATCTGTGGGTTTATTTCTGGATTTTCTATTCGATTCCATTGGTCTGTATGTCTGTTCTTGTTCCAATACCATGCAGTTTTGATGATTATGGCTTTGTAGTATAGTTTGAAGTCTGGGAGTGTGATGCCTCCATTCCCTTCTTTTTTTTTCAGGAGAGCTTTGGCTATTCGGGGTTTTTTGTGATTCCATATGAATTTCATCAATAATTGTTCTATTTCTTTGAAGAATGACATTGAAATTTTGATTGGAATAGCATTGAATCTGTATATTGCTTTTGGAAGGATGGCCATTTTAATAATGTTTATTCTTCCAATCCATGAGCAGGGGATGTCTCTCCATTTCTTTGTGTCTTCTTCTATTTCTTTTAACAGTGTTTTATAGTTTTCTTTGTATAGGTCCTTTACCTCTTTTGTTAGATTTATTCCCAAATATTTGATTTTTTTTGTTTCAATAACAAAAGGGATGGTTTTTTTTATTTCTTCTTCTTCAGATTTATTGTTTGTGTATAGGAAGGCTACTGACTTTTGCGTGTTGATTTTGTATCCTGCCACTTTACTGAACTGATTGATGAGTTGAATTAGCTTTTCTGTGGAGTTTTTGGGGTTCTCTATGTATAATATCATATCGTCTGCAAATAGTGATAGTTTGACTTCTTCTTTTCCTATTTGGATTCCTTGGATGTCTTTCTTTTGTCTTATTGCCCTGGCTAGGACTTCCAGTATTATATTGAAAAGCAGTGGTGAGAGTGGACATCCTTGTCTTGTTCCAGATCTTAATGGAATTGCTTTCAGCTTTTCACCATTGAGAATGATACTGGCTGTTGGCTTGTCATAGATGGCCTTTATGATGTTGAGGTATGTTCCTTGTATCCCAAGAATTTCAAGGGCTTTTATCATGAATGGGTGTTGCACTTTGTCGAAAGCTTTCTCAGCATCTATTGATATTATCATATGGTTTTTATATTTCTTTTTGTTGATGTGTTGGATAACGTTGATTGATTTTCGGATGTTAAACCATCTTTGTGTCCCTGGAATGAATCCTACTTGGTCGTGGTGAATTATCTTATGGATACATTGTTGGATTCTGATAGCTAAAATTTTATTGAGGATTTTTGCATCAGTGTTCATTAGGGAGATTGGCCTGTAGTTTTCCTTTTTTGTGTTGTCCTTGTTCGGTTTTGGTATTAGTGTAATGTTGGCTTCATAAAACGTGTTTGGTATTGTCCCTTCCTTCTCAATTTTTTGGAAGAGTTTGTGAAGGATAGGCACTAATTCGTCTCTGAATGTTTGGTAGAATTCATTTGTAAATCCATCAGGTCCTGGGCTTTTGTTTTTGGGGAGGTTTTTGATTACCATTTCAATTTCGCTAATTGTAATTGGTCTGTTTAGGTGTTCTATTTCTTCTTTATCTAGCTTTGGGTGATTGTAGAGTTGTAGGAATTTGTCCATCTCCTCTAGATTGTTAAACTTCTTTCCATATAACTGTCCATAGTAGTTACTGATTATTCTTTTGATATCTGCTGTGTCCGTTGTGATTTCTCCTCTTTCATTGATGATCCTGTTTATTTGTGCTTTCTCCCTTTTTTCCTTTGTGAGCCTGGCTAGGGGTTTGTCTATTTTATTGATTTTTTCAAAGAACCAGCTCTTGGTTTCATTGATCTTTTGGATTGTTTTTTTAGTTTCAATTTCATTTATTTCTGCTTTGGTTTTTATTATTTCTTTTCTTCTACTGGTTTTGGGGTTTTTTTGTTGTTCTTTTTCTAGATCTTTGAGCTTCGAGATTAGGTTGTTTCTTTGCGTTCTTTCTTGTTTCTTGATGTGAGCTTCTATTGCTATATATTTTCCTCTTATTACTGCTTTTGCTGCATCCCATACATTTAGGATATTGGTGTCCTCCTTGTCGTTCAATTCAAAAAATTTTTTAATTTCTTCTTTGATCTCCTCATTAGTCCAATGGTCTTCCAGTAGTGTGGTTTTTAATCTCCATGAGGTAGGAAAGTTCCTTGCCTTCTTTTTATGGTTTATTTCTGATAACACTAGAATTTTCTAACGAATACTATGACCTTACAAGACCTATGGAAAATCGTTGTTTGTTTTATTTTAATTTTCATAGATTTTCACACATCAGTTTTCTTAAATATCTTAATGATCATCTTCTCTCTTGAAAATAGAAATTAATAATCCCTTCACTTGTTTTTAAATTTTCATCTTATTACAAATAATTTAGATAAGTGGTATGAACATTAACTCCCAGTTTTCTTGCTTACATTTTTGTGAAATATTGACTCAATCTCAGAGTTGGATGCACTGGGTGATGAGCTTCTGGCTGATGAAGATAGTTCTTACTTGGATGAAGCAGCATCTGCACCTGCAATTCCAGAGGGTGTTCCCACTGACACAAAGAATAAGGTGAAAACTTTTTGTGTTTATATTTTTCTATGCAGAATGGTAAAGGTTTTACACCTAATTACTAGTCTGGGAATCTGAAAGTCTTATAACAAGGAAAGACCATTTCTGTTATTATTTCAGGAATCCTTGAAAGCCCAGTTGTCCTGCATTGGACCATGGCCAGGCTGCATAAGTGTCACTGAGGCTCAGGAATGTTTTTATGTAATGATAGTTTGAACTTGCACTGGGTGCCATTTACAAGTTTTAAACATTTCCTGGGAAAGCAACAGCAGTATATGCATGAAGCATACTGGCCAGCAGTGAAAAGAAAGTTTCACTTCACACACCTGGTTAATTACAGGGTAAATTTTTTAAGCCAGGGATTAATAATTTAAATAGAAAACTTGATGTAAGTCCTCCTTGGTGGTGCACGGGGTTAAATGCAACCTTACATTTGTATTCGCAGCCACTGCAGCACGAATTCGATCCCTGGCCAGGGAGCTACCCACATGGCGCAGCAGACCTTTCCTGTCTCACCCGCTGCTCCCCTCAGCAGTGTATTTCAGTCAGGCTGCCTGTTCTCGCCCCACTCTGTCTCTAGTAGGTCCTCTCACCCCCCACACCTCTGGCCTGTACCCCGTTCTTGTATGCATCAATAAATAAATCTATTTTTTTATTTTTTTTAAGATTTATTTTATTTTTATACAAGAGCTAGGTTACAGGCCAGAGTGCAGGAGGGTGAGAGGATTCACCAGAGTCAGAGCAGGGAACAGAACAGGCAGACGGACCAAAAACACTGCTGAGGGGAGCAGCGGGCAAAACAGGACAGGTTGGCTGTGCCATGTGGGTTAGTCCCTGGCCAAGGATCAAACTCAGGCCACTTTGCCATGGGAGGGCTACCAGGGAGGCCCAGATTTTGGTTTTCATTGATTGAACACTTAGAAGTAACTTTTCGCTACTAATTATTTTAATCATTTTTTTTTTTTTTATCAGTTGAAAAGAGTGTCACTAAAACATTGCTTTCTTTCCACAGGATGGTGTCCTGGTGGATGAATTTGGATTGCCACAGATTCCTGCATCATAGACTTGGGTGATTCAAGTACATTGTGTAAAATAAATGCATATTCTGGGACTAGGAAATATTTATCTTTCCAGATTTACCATAACAGATTTAGATTGCTTTCCTTTCTTTGAAGGAAAGATTAATCACATTGTTCTTTTACTTTGTTCCGTTAAGAAACTTGGCACTTGGGGGCTGTTTTCTTCATACTAAACTTTTATTACTGTTTGCTTATGAAAGACTAACTTAAAAGTATCAGTGACTCTATTAGGCTAGTTTTCATTCATTAATGGTAATTTGAAATAAAACCAAGGAAATGGGAGTCTTGAAATTCAGTGACAGTATAACACCACATTCTCTCATTGATCTGATAAATTGACAAGACAAAGATGAGATAACTGGGACTGTTCATATTATGATTCAAAACCATTTTCTATTGTGGTATTATAGGTTGGTTAAAGTGATAGCTTTTTTCTGATGGGTTTGTTGTCTTGTGAGTAAATCATTACTGTGTCCAGTGTTGGAATGGAATTATCACTACTATATCATGAGTGGATATTTTGATTCTCTGGTTTCCTCAGTATTACAGCCTGACTTGTAATCAGTAATGAATATTTCTTGATATTTAATGTATAGGACATTTATTTATACTCAATAAATATTTTTCAAAAGGATATAATTTTAATAATATTACTTCAGCCTAAAACCTCCATTATGGAAATCAAATCGAATACAATTTTAACGTCAATTCAGCCTAAAAACTCCAATATAGTTTTAACTGGTGGCATTGTGATATAGAGAAAAGAGCAAGGAACAGTCCAGTTATCAGATGGTCTCTCATCATCTAATAACTTTAAAGTATCCTTTTCCTCTTCATTTGTATTTCCTTTTTAGTGAAGTTATACTTGACTATGCTTTTGTGAAGAATAATTGAGGTAGTGGTCTTGAGTACTCATTAACTGCAATGTGCTATTCTCGTGTGAGGGAATATTAACAATGAAAAAGCAGGGGCTTCTCTCTTTTCTTGAAAGTTATCTGAAGTCCTCAAGCAGTTCCAGAATCCTGCTTGATTTCAGGTTCTTTAATGGTCCTGTCCTCCTTCCCTCACTCAGTCTCTCACCAACAACACTCCCTCCTCCCGCCTTGCTGCATCTCTCACATGGCATTTGTGTCAGCCTTTCATGTGTCAGCAGATGAACCCAATAAACATTTATTGAACACCAGATTTATAGAGTCTATACGAACCCAAGACTAACCAGAATAATCACAGTTCCTCTTGAAAATTCACTTCTAGGGCCTCCCCGGTGGTGCAGTGGTTGAGCGCTGGGTTGCGAAGCTGCCCGCAGCCTCTGCAGCACCAGTTCAATCCCCAGCTGCTCCCCAGCCACCGGAGGAGGGTCCCACATGGCGCGCAGACCTCTTCTGCCACCCGCTGCTCCCCTCAGCAGTGTACTTTGGTCCTTCTGCCTGTTCTGCTCCCCGCTCTGCATCTGGTGAATTCGCTCACCCTCCCGCGCTTCTGACTGTACCCAGTGCTTGCATAAATAAATAAATAAATCTTTAAAAACAAAACAAAACAAAAAAATTCACTTCTAGTTATAGATAAGGATTAAACATGTATATAACCCTTTCCCAGCCCCACTACCTCACCCTTCCAAGTATTCAATGGGAGAAAACATTTTAGTATTCATCAATATCTTGAAACCTTCCTTGGATTCTCCACAAGAGCTCACTCAACCTTACTTTTTTTTTTTTTTTAAGATTTATGTATTTATGCATACAAGAACTGGGGTACAAGCCAGAGGTTTGGCGGGGTGAGAAGATTCACCAGAGACAGTGGGGAACAGAATAGTCAAATTGACCGAAATACACTGCTGAGGGGAGCAGCAGGAGAGACAGGAGAGGTCTGCTGTGCCATGTGGGTAGCCCCCTGGTTGGGGCTCGAACTCGTGCTGCAGCGGCTGCACAGCTTCATAGGTTGCGTCTTAACCCCCTGCATCACCAGGGAGGCTCTCACTCAACCCTTTAAATATTTCTTTTAGTTCCAGTCTTGAGCTCTTCACCCTTCATTCTTCTTGAGATGACTTATACCCATGATTTTAACTAATACCTATATATCAATGACTCAGAATAACTATCACTAGGGAAATAGCCAGCATGATGTCGGTAAAGACAATAATCTTACCTTCTCTATATGTTTACAACCAAATTACAACTAAAAAAAACAATAACCCTTAAATGACAAACAAATGACTACTGCATGCATCAAGAGCGGAAGTATGGTGAAAAGGAGTAGGAAAATCTAATTAGACTGTATGGAGCAATACTGGGGCAGTACAACCCATAAAGGAAAGGGGTGATTGCTACTGGAGCCAAAAGTGCAGGGAGGTGAGAGGATTCACCAGAGACAAGTAGGGAGCAGAACACGCAGATTTACTGAAACACACTGCTGAGGGGAGCAGCAGGTGGGACAGGAGAGGTCTGCTACGCCATATGGGTCAGCTCCCTGGCCAGCGGGAAACAAACTCATGCTGCAGTGGCTGGTGATAGCTTGATAGCACTGTCTTTAACGCCTGTGCCACCACAGAGGCCCTCAAATTGTTTTTAAAAATACAAGAAGGAAAGCTCTCGAATACATTTTATGATGCCAACATAACCTTAATACCAAAACCAGACAAAGAGCATAAGAAAATTATAGCCCAGTATTCTTGATGAACAATTGATGCAAAATTTTTCAACAAAGTATCAGCAAATCAAATTCAACAGCATATCATAAATAACTACACACCATGATCAAGTAGGACTCATCCCAGGGATATAAGGATGGTTTAATAGACATAAATTATTGGGAATGTGAACTTGTGAAACCATCATGGAAAGCAGTTTTAATTTAACTTAAAAAAATAAAAATAGAAATACCATACAATAATTCAGCAATCCCAGACCTCCCTGGTGGCATAGGGGAGTGCTATCACCACTACTGCCTCAGTTCAGCCCCAGGGAACTAACCCACATATGGCACAGTGGACCTCTCCTGTCTCACCCGCTGCTTCCCTTGCAGTATATTTCAGTAGATCTGCCTGTTCTGCTCCCCACTCTGTCTCTGGTGAATCCTCTCACCCCTTGCATCAATGGCCTACACCTCAGTTCTTCTATGCATAAATAAATAATCTTTTAAAAAAAAACAAGACAGCATTCCCACTCTTGGGCATATATCCACACATCATACCATCAACAACAAAAAGCCCATATGCTCTACAAGACGCACAGCAACATTATTTACAATTGCTAGGACATAGAAGCAGTAAATCTTCAATGGACAAATGGGTCAAAAAGATTTGGTACATAAATTCCATGGAAGACTACATAGCCCCAAGGAAAGATGAAAGGCAGTGCCTCCCTGGTGGCACAGGGGGTTAAGATGCAACCTATGAAGCTGTCCACAGCCACTGCAGTATGAGTTTGATCCCCGGCCAGGGAGCTACCCACATGGCACAGCAGACCTCTCCTGACTTGCCTGCCGCTCCCCTCAGCAGTGTACTTCGGTCAATCTGCCTGTTCTGTTCCCCCTCTGTGTCTGGTGAATCCTCTCACCCCCCACAACTCTGGCCTGTACCCCAGCTCTTGTATGCATAAATAAATAAATCTTTTTTTTTTAAATGAAATGCAGCCATTTTCAACAAAAATGGAATTTGAAAAATTAAATGAAGCAAATCAAGTCAGAATAACAGAAACAACTATCGGACATTCATATAAAAGACAATTCAACAATATAAAGCACTTTCAAAAACCACTGGACATCAACAAATATCCCAAGGGCTCTGAGGTTAGGAGAGGGGCCAGGGAAAGGGACAAGGGATATCAGGGGATAGAAAGAATGAAGGTGGGAGTGGGGGGGTAGGAATGAGATACATCACACCTGTTGGCATGGGAAAAGTTTGGAAGTTGTAATGTTATATCTCAAATATCCCTCAGATCTGTCCTCTCCATATTTGTTGTTTTTCTAGTCCCAGGCCACCACCATCATATGCATTAATGTGATAGAGAAAAGAATGTAAGTGCTTTACCCACTTCTGTTCTTACTCCCCCACACGAACACTTCCCTGGGATCAAGACAAATCTGTTTTGTTTTTTTTTTTAAGACTTATTTATATAAGAACCGGGGTAAGATGCGCAGGAGGGTGAGAGGATTCACCAGAGACAGAGCAGGGAACAGAACAGGCAGACTGATGAAGCACACTGCTGAGGGGAGCAGTGGGCGAGACAGGAGAGGTCTGCTGTGCCATGTGGGATTCTCCTCGGCCGGCCGGGATAGAACCCGCGCTGCAGAGGCTGAGGACAGCTTCACAGTGCAGTGCTAAACCGCCTGCACCCAAGAGAGACCCAAGATAAATCTTTAAGTGTAAAACAGATGCCACTTCTTTGCTTAGAGCCTTTCAATAACTTCCTATTGTTTTTGGGACAAAATCCATCCTCACAACCTGCAGGTGAACCTTGTAATCACTGTGATCTCCTTACCTACCTCTCCTATTTTATATTGTGCCACTTTTCTTGCTATTCTCCAGCAAATATTTCAGTATCTTGAACTTTTAATTCTTTCCCTCCTCATAGGTGTTGCACATGCCCTTTCCTCTGATTCTAAACATGACTCGCTCCTTTCTCATCTTTCATTTCTTCTCAAAGAAGCTTGTCCAACTTTACTGGAGCAGATACTAAGAAGTTATTGCTGTTACTGTTTTTTTAAAAAGATTTATTTATTTATTTATGCATACAAAAACTGGGGTGTAGGGCCTCCCGGGTGGCTCAAGGGGTTAAGCATAGCACTGTGAAGCTATCTGCAACCTCTGCAGCACGAGTTTGATCCCCAGCCAGCCAGGGAGCTACCCATATGGCACAGCAGACCTCTCCTGTCTCACCTGCTACTCCCTTCAGCAGTGTATTTCACTCAATGTGCCTGTTCTGTTCCCCACTCTGTCTCTGGTGAATCCTCTCACCCCCCAAACCTCTGGCCAGTACCCCAGTTCTTGTATGCATAAATAAATCTTTTTTTTTTTTAAAAAAAAAGGGGCCTCCCAGATGGCGCAGTGGTTGAGCGCTGTGTTGCGAAGCTGCCCGCAGCCTCTGCAGCGCCGGTTCGATCCCCAGCCACCAGGCGAGGGTCCCACATGGCGCGCAGACCTCTCCTGCTGCCCGCTGCTCCCCTCAGCAGTGTATTTCGTCAGTCTGCCTGCTCTGCTCTCCACTCTGACTCTGATGAATTCTCTCACCCTCCCGCGCTTCTGACTGTACCCAGTGCTTGTATAAATAAATAAATAAGTAAATTTAAAAAAAAAAAAAACTGGGGTATAAGCCAGAGGTGCGGTGGGTGAGAGAATTCACCAGAGAGAGTGGCAAGCAGAACAGGCAGAGCTACTGAAATACTGAATACACTGCTGAGGAGAGCAGCGGGTGAGGCAGGAGAGGTCTGCTGTGCCATGTGGGTTGCTCCCTGGCCAGCCAAATACTGCAGTGACTGGCAATAGCTTGATAGCGCTGTCTTTAACCCACCACGCCACCAGGGAGGCCCCTATTTTTTTTATATAATACTATAATTTGTAATTACTTTAAAATTATTAATTTGTAAATAAAAATTATTTAGTTTTTCTCTCCCCCAGAGGACAGTGCACTTTCTGAG